TCAGCAAGTTTATGGGACAGCTACTTCATCGAGCTTTGTGAGTAAATCTGTATTGGACCTTGGTAATCTATCACAGTAACCCTGGCTGTAATAATGATAATTATGGGTATCTCCTTAACCCCTTAAGTACGGAAGAAATTGTCCAAATTGTGCAACTATATTGTATATTGTATTATAGACGGGGCAAGGAAGTGCTAATCTGTGAGCTCTTCCTACTCTGCTACCTTGTGCGAAACTTAGTGATGTCGGGATCCGGAATATGATGTCACTCTGGCTCCCGGCCTGCACGAGGGAGCAGCTCCCTCCCCTCCTACTTTGTGTGTCCGCCATCCGGCCAGCCTGCCCACCGGCCTTCGCAGCCCCAGTAGCCCCACTGGACCCTAGGTAAAGAATCCACTCCAGCTATACCAAAGGTAGGGAGACTGGGTAGATTTAACTTAAAATAAAACAATAAAATAAGTTGTGAGTGTTGGGGGAAAATGTCTGTTAGTGAGTGTGTGTGTGTGTCTTTTAGTGAGTGTGTGTATCTGACAGTGCGTGTGTGTCTGAATGAGTGTGTGTCTGCCAGTGTGTCTGTCCTTATGTGTGTGTGTGTGTCTGAATGATTGTGTGTGTGTATGTCAGAGTATGTCAAATCAGTGAGTGTGTGTGTATGTCAGTGTGTGCCTATCAGTGAGAGGGTGTGTCAATGTATATCTGTCAGTGAAAGTGTGTTTTGGTTAAAAGGTGTACGTGCCAATGACTGTATTTGTCAGTGAGTGTATGTCAGTGCATGCATCAGTGAGCAGTGGCATACATACTGGGGTCAACCCGGTATGTACGCCAGTGTAGCCAGCCTCTTCTCCTGGGGGGCCCAGAAGCCGGCCACCTCAAGGCCCCCCAAGGCTGGCCATGGTTTCACCGGGCTGGCGGGCGCGTGAGGGAGCACTCTCCCCTGAGCGCTCTCTGCCCAGCTCCCTCGCGCACTGCACTGATGCCGGATCCGGAATATGACGTCATATTCCGGCTCTGGCATCAGTAAGCGGCACGCGAGGGAGCTGGGCAGAGAGCGCTCAGCCAGGGAGAGTGCTCCCTTGCGCGCCCGACAGTCAAACAGCCGCACTGGACCCCAGGGAATCCCCTCAGCACTCCCAAAGGTAAGGAGGCTGGGGGATTAAATTTTAAAGAAACGTGTTTGTGTGTGTCTGTTATTGAGTGTGTGTCTGCTAGTGAGTGTCAGTGTGTTTGTTAGTTTGTGTGTGTCTGTTATTTAGGGTGTGTCTGCTAGTGAGTGTCAGTGTGTGTGTTAGTTTGTGTGTCAGTGAGTGTGTGTGTCAGTGAGTGTGTTATTATGTGTGTCTGTTACTGAGTCTGTTAGTTTGTGTGTGTCTGTTAGTGAGTCTGTTTGATGTCTGTTAGTGAGTGTGTATTTGTCAGTGAGAGTGTATGTTTTGTATGACGTCATATTCCGGCTCCGGCATCAGGGTTAAAACTGATGTGATCTGGGTGTCTGTAGTGGTCCTTTAAGTGTGTGTTTGTATCTGCATGCACTGGCGGTCCCTGCGACCAGGTGCCCGCTGCCATGTGTTCCAGCCCACATAGAGTAAGCGCGGAGTGGGGGCCCACGGATCAATTTTCGCACCGGGGCCCCATGGGTCGTGTGTACGCCAGTGTCAGTGAAGGCATGTGTCTGTCCATCAAATTGCGTGTTGGTCTTTAACCGAGGTGTGGCCTTGACAGAAAGGGTGGGACAAATTTACATTAGGTGGGTGCCGAGTTTCATCATGCCTAGGGAAGCACAAATCCAAAATACATCATTGGGTGTTGGTCTACCCAAAATATGGCTTTATTACAATGCGTCCATGCTAGCATCAGGGATAACATTGCATGCTCCAATAGGAACTTTGCAATGGGCCGATAAAGGGAACACAAAACTAGCTAAAGGGACACTGCTTGATAATATATGGACCCCCAAAAGGTTCCACAAGAGTAATTCTAATTTATTCCGTACTACAATAGCGATGTTCAAGGTGTGGGATGACGTTATGACACCCCAAGACTGGCAAACTCATTTCCATCCAAAGCCCCGTTAACGGCTTTGAAGGATATATAAGGAGCATACTATTGGGCTCCTAGAACCACAACAGGACACAAGGAGTGGGAGATGTGAGTAAGTATATACAGTGCTTACTTGCTATTTGTCAGGATTACTAGTTGATCCAGCACGAAGAACTGTATCACACCTAGGACTAAAAGGTAACGTCTTACCGAGCCTTAGAATGGCCAAACTTAACATACCAGAGAATAGTCAGAAATCTTGCCGAGGTCGGGAACACAGAATGAGACACAACGATGAAGGAAAGCCAAAAGTCAAGGATACCAGAATACAGTGAAGTCAAAATTAAGCCAAAGTCAATAACCAGAAATAAATGCTCAGGAACACACTCTCGGACAACCACTAAGGGAAACCACAGACAGGGCAATGAGGGAAGGCAAGAAAGGAGTTTAAATAAGTCTCCTTTAAATCCGATTAGCCCTACCCTGCCTATGACCCCAGAATATGCATGCGCGTCCTTCGCGTGATGACACACACACGTTGACGCCGTCAATACCGTGGGTGGACATGTGGCTACAAATTGGTATGGATCCGCAGTGGCCGGTGTCTTTCAGCATGCCGCAGGAGCCAGATACACCGGCACAGGGCCGCCAAACAGCATCTTCACCAATGCCAGGAAGGTAGTTATCCTCACGGACACCACAAGTTCAGGATGAACATGTGACACTATTGGCCCACTTCATACTCGAATTCCGTATTATTTGTGGGTGATAGAACACTTGATTAGAATAGGAAACATTATCATTGTGCACCGAATTCGGTTGGCGAATTTGCCACTAGAACTTGAATTTGGTCCGGCAAATTCGCCATTTGAATCCAAATTCGCACACCCATAAAACCCCATTGCACACAAGCGTGCAATGTCACAAAGAACCGGGAGACTTGGAGAAGGAAAGATAGGAGATCCCGACAGTTTGGACCTCTTTTCTCCATTTGCCCCCATTTGATGTTAAACATAAAGTTCATTGAATGCGACTGAAAGCATGCGCAAGTGTTTTTGACTCGAGCGTGATGACATCACATTCGGAAGTCATGAACGCAGGAGTTACAAATGAAGGCAGAGAAACCAATCAAAGTGAGTATAAAAATGGCAAACATCTATTGTGAATTACAGCTCTTGAGAAAGTTGAACGGCTATCTTGGAACTTTTCAAATTGAGACCTTTTAGCACACTGAATGGTGATTCATAAACTGTACTAAGATTAGAGACTGAGAATAGAAGGATCCCTTGAAACTGCAGCATACACCTGGATAGAGATCCCCTAGTGGTCAATGGTGTTTTAGCACAATTTGATTTGTGCATTTCTTTTGT